AAATATATGAGTTTGTATGTAATGTATGAATATAATATACAAGTTTCACTTTTTAAATGGAATTACTGAAATAAATCTACTTTTTCATGATATTATAATTTTATGACCAGCACCTGTATAGCCAATATCATAAAAGTCCCAATAAGGTCTGTAAAACGTTAGTGTGACAGGGTCATCAGATTATTATCCCTTAATTTGAGAAGATTCTGACTATAATCTAGTATTTTAAACTTATTTCTAAGATTGATAGTTTTTGCGTTGTGGCAGTGAAATGTGTACCCAACATTCCAAAAAAAAAAGGTTTAACACAAAAGAACTGGACTTTTATTCTGACGCTGATGATGTTTTCAATTCATAACGTTTGGTGTAGTGTGGAGTTCCACGCTTTATAGGCCTGCATGAGAGGCCTCGTTAGTGCTTAGATTAACATGTAGATTAATCTGGAACTACTCATCCTTCAATGCATACACGTTGTACAGATTGTTCTTGAAATACACAGATTTTCCTACATTTCGCATGAATACACACATAGATTGCATTTTTTTTTCCTGAGACTTTGCTTCAATTTTCTGTCAGAGTCAGCGGGCTGTAAGGAAATAAGTTTACCTCCAGCTGTTACCTCCGACCCCACATTCCCTCTCTGCAGCCGACTGTCCTCTTGACAACGACCCCCCCAAGCAGAGGTTTTAGTGACAGTTATGGATTTCTGAGGGTCATAATGCATCAATGTCTGAAGGGCTTCAGGTTAATCTACATGTGAATCTAATAGGGATGTAACAATTGATCAATAATCGATTATAACTGTTTTAAATGTGAATTGATGTCATTATTATTGTATAACAAAAAGTTATGTCTTTAAGACAAATTCAGTTTGATGCTTGATAACTTTTGATCACTTCAGGATTATTTTTTACATTTATTTTAACGTATGTTACTAAAACAACGGTTAGTTTGATACAAGGACAAAAATACAGATAAAAACATAATCATGAACTTCAAATTGAATCGGAGCTCGAGTGCATCGTTACGTCCTAGAATCTAAGCAGGACATTTTTCTGTTAAAATACACAACATTTCGACGTGTTTTTTGACAGTAACATGGTTCTGAGACATTCTAGCTTACAGTGATCAGAACAGTAAACCCAAGAGAAACTCACCTGTACAACATCCTGTAATCCACTCTGATTAAAGAACGTCTGTTTAATTGTCTTTAATTATCCAGAAACTGTGTCGACTCAGTGTTAATGTTTCCATTTCACTTCCATTAACACCTGTATTTAGAGCTCTGTGAATATAATCTGACTGCTCAGGACAGATTTTGGTGCTGGTTGATGTGCCTTTGTGACACGTTGAAAATAAAGTGCCTGAATCAAATTTAAAGTTGGTTCACTTCCTGGTTGATAAATGAGTCAAAAGTCAGAGTGAAGAGGCTTAAACAAAAATAAACATTTTACTGAAAATCATCAGGTGCTGGGCTGAAACTGTGTAAAACTTTCAGAAAGTCTGAGGAAGCTGTTTAATCTAAAACAGAGTCTTTATATCTCTGAAAACCACTCTTGTGTTTCCCCTGCAGGTAAGATGCGGAGGCAGCGCTCCGTGGTCCAGGCCTCGCAGGGCGACGGCCGGCCCTGCCCCTCCCAGATGGAGCAGTGGAAGCCCTGCCCGGTCCGACCCTGCTACCGCTGGCAGTACAGCCCCTGGTCTGAGTGCCGGGTGGAGGTGGGTCCGTGAATCATTAAATCATTAGACTACAATCAAATTTCAGCAACGGCATCGACCTCTGGCAGCGAGGGCAAAACGTAACTCTAACAGATTACTGAGGTCGATACGCAGAACAGCTGGAGCCAAAACGTGAATTCCTTATAAAAATAATCCTCTTCAGTATTGATGAACAGCCCCATCAAACTCCTGCTCACACTCATAGACAGCACAGATCAATCTGATGCATCTTTAATGCCGTTACTTTAGTGGAAACTCAGACCTCGGCCAAGACATCTGGCTGCCTGAACACTTTGTTTTGGACTGCATGGCTTCAGGATGGAACGATAAAATGTCCAACGTTTGTGTTTTATGGCAAAGTGAAACTTTGAAAGCTTTAATGGAGTCTGCAGGGAGTTAACACAAACATTTATAATTCATCCAAAGTCTGTAACCTCAGAGRAAAACGCAGGATTTAATCATTTTGATTGCCGTCGAAAAATTGGCTCCTGACTTTTTTTTTTTCACCCGAGTCCTTGGAGACGTTTTGTAATAAAGTGATTTATTTGCTGGGATGTGTCTTATTGTAGGTTAATATTAAATATAGAGCATAGTTAGTTAGGATTCCTACAAAATAAAAGCAGATAGAATATTGAGGCCCACGTTGTGGCTTTGTTACACTCTGTTACACTCTGTGTTGTGCACTGAGGCAACTCTTCACCTGTCGTCTCTGTCAGAGCGTGGTATGCGGACACGGCACGCGCTACAGGAACCTGACCTGCTTCGTGTCGGACGGCTCGGGCGACGGCGAGAGCAGCGTGGTGGACGAGGAGCTGTGCGGCGGCCTGGAGCTGGCCGTGGACGGAGACAAACAGATCGTCCTTAAAGAGGCGTGTGTCCTCCCGTGTCCAGGTGGGTGGTGAGAGCGCCGCAGCTCGTCTCTCTCACAGTCAGGATTTAATATTTGTGACTCATCCTGTCAAACTAGATTAATTAAAATGTTTGCAATAATTGCATTTTGTTAAAAATATAATAAATAAATCACATAAATGGATAATTTGAATGAACTGTTTTAGCAGTAGCCACTAAACAAGTAATTATGAGAATTAAATTTTTATTTATATACTATATTCCTTTCCAGCTGAGAAATCTTAACATCCTAATACTGTTTGAAGTTTCCTCTTTATCATGACGTCAAATATTCCTCATTAGATTAACCTAAAAATAGGATTAAGACCAAATAACAAGTTAGCTATAAATGCTTGATTTAATCCTTTGTTTGATGTGACCGGCCGCATTTTTACTTTTGGTCATAAACTCCAGGTTTGGTTAAATTTCTTATTATTTATTTTAATGTGGTGCTGTGAGGAGAGCAGTGAAAAACAAATCGATCAGCYGGAGTCCTGACCCAACGGCTGAAGTTTGCAGCTTAAATGAATCAGTTTACTTTTACAGATCAGGTGCATCCTCATCCTCACTGTTCATCAGTTATGTAGATCAGAGGTTCTCAAACTGGGGTCCCAGGACCCCCAGGGGCCCATGAGAGGTATCTTGGTGGTCCTCAAAAAATTTCACTAAATTGTTAATTTGATTTTTTTTTTTAATGCATGGAGAACAATGATCTAATAAAACAAACATAGTAGACTAAATAAAAATATAAATGTGACCCGTCACATCGAAACGAGGATTAAGTCCAAAAGTGGGATGTGGAGAAATAGACATATATAGAGGGTTAAAGGGTTTTGATTTAACAGTTTGCAGGAGTTGCATTTTGTCAAAATATAATGAATTAATGCCTTATCAGTGAACCATTTGAATGAACTGTCTGAAATATGATCCTAAAAACATTTTTGAAGCATTTTTTGAGCAGTAGCAACAAAAAACCTGATTTAGAATTTTTCCCTGTGAGCTAACAATGTTTTTGTTTCTTTCTAACTGGGAAATCTTAATATATAAATAATATTTGAGGTTTATTCTTTATATTAACATAAAAAATACTCAATAAATTTACATAAAATTAGGATTCAGACCAAACAGGAATGTATTATCATAACCAACAAGACAAATTAAGTCATATCTCTGGATAAGCTGATGATATCAGGATGATCCAGGTGTCAAAATGTAGCTCTTAAACCAGGAATATGAAAATKTAATTAGGTCATTTTGACTAAATTTGACGTAATCCTCATGTCGATATGAAGGGTCACATATTACCATGGAATTTATGGGATGAAATGACAATAAATTATCTTTTAAAACAGCATGGTATGAGGGGGTCCCTGGAATTTTTTTCGCCATTGTAAGGGGTCCCCAGACCGAAAAGTTTTGAGAACCCCTGATGTAGATAAATCTGCTTTATTTGCTTTATCGAGCTGCTGACATAAAATCATCACAAGTAACTATCATAACAGAAAAGCTGTAAAACATCCACTTCATTTAAACAGAACATCAGGCGCTGTGTGCAGGTTTACAGTTACTGAATCGTAGGGCGGCAGAGTCACTTTGAATGCTTTCAATAACTTTTTTTATCTAACTCATTAATTTTACAGTGGATGAATAGAACTTAACATCTGTAATGCCTGAAATCTTGCATCTCACTGTGCATTTATTACCATCGTAGCTTTTCACAAGCTTTTATCAGGAGAAAAGAAAGAAAAAAGTTTCACTTTAAAGCAGTGGTGTCCAAAGTCAGTCCTCAAGGGCGGGTGTCCTGCATGTTTTAGCTGCTCTGGTTCAACACAGCTGAACCTAAGGAGTGCTTAATTAGTAGATCTCCTCAGTATGCCTTCAAGCTCTGCAGAGGTTTACTAATTAAGCACTCACTGGGTTCAGCTGTGTTGAACCAGAGCAGCTAAAACGTGCAGGACGCCGGACCTTGAGGACTCACTTTGGACACCACTAGGCCTGGGATGATATGAAATCATGATGGTATGATAACCTTGGGCAAAAATATCATGGTTTTGCAGTATGACGGTGTAATGGAGCTAATACTTTTATGTTTAAGCAAGTAATTCATGACATCCTTTAATGACCTAAGTTTTCATGACATGCTGTTCGTCTGCAGACAGAATGATTAAAGTCAGAACAAAATCTGCTAACAACAATAATCATTCTTAGATATCACTTGTGTTTATCTTTGTGTTTTCCGTTGACCTTGTATCAGTTCTTGCTAAGATGACATAATGGTGTTTGTTAATATATTATATATGAGGCCTCTCGAGGCACAGTGAGTAGTGTGGAGAGACAGTGACAGAGAGAAGCAGAGGCACAGAGACAGGCCACGTTCTCTGTGTTTCCTGTTGTTGCAGTAAAACTCAGCTGATCATCTCACGGAGTACCTTCATTCTTGGACCACATATTTCTGTCTTTGTTAAATAAATATTGCCATAACAACGGTATAAAGATTACAGCTTTAAAATTTTTGTTTTGAAATTTGTATTTAAAAATAAAAAAAGAAAATTCCTTTTCTATTATATTCAACTTTATCTTTGGAAGCTGTTTTTAGATCTCAGAGGTATTATGCTGAAATTGTATTTACCTGTTTGCATCTATACTTGTGATTTTTAGCACCTAATGCAATTAAGTTATCCTGGTATCATTTAYATCTAGTAAGAACTGCTTTTCTATTGCTTTATTATTTAAAACAAATCAGTGTATACTGCACAAGTCTTCTTATTAAAGTAAATTTGGGAGTTTTTTATTGTGTTTTAAATGACAAAGGGGTGTTTGACGTAAAGATTTTATAATTATATGCACACAGAAATAAGAAATCACAACTATAAATGYGTGTATATGAAACACACGTTCAGCTAACGAGCTGCTCGGCTAAAAGAGGCATTTAGTTTTATCGCCGTTCATTTAAAACTTATCAAAAACACAATCCAACAACTCAAACAGTTTTCCAGACAAGTTGTGATCGGCGCATTAAACCACAGCAACACAGTGATATGTTTCACAATCTGATGCTAACGTTAGCTCGTTCCTTTCAAGAGAGCATAACTTTACCTGGAGCTGCGATCATGTTAGACGTGTTGCCTCCACGGTCCATGTTGCCATCGTCTTTACGGCATCCTAAGTATTTTCATGTAGCTGGCTTACCTTGAAACCAATATCCGGCCCATTCCTACACACCACTGCTGTAAAGAGATCCATATCGTCCACCAGCCTGCAGGGCAAAGTTTAAAACAAAGTATGCATTGGGGGATGACTCTCAGCTACTATCACATCACGTTTTAGCTCAGTATCTATATAGAGCTCGATTTGTAGCTATTTTTGTGTTTAAAAACGTTAATTAGCAATGGCAGCCATCTTGAATCGAGCCCACCCTGAAAGTTAATCAGATATAGAATCACGTCGTTTACACGATTGCCCACGTTTTATAAAAGCGGTTAGTTAAAAGCTGATCCTTTGTGTTGACGTGTAATTTAGAGGAAGATTAACAGATATTAGCTGAGCTGCAAAAAGAAAAAAACTGTGTAGGTCTTCTGGACGGGCTCTTCTCTAATGAAACGTTTCGTCTCTCCTCCAAGAGACTTCTTCAGTCTGAGAGTTTCAGGCAAAATTCAGGCTTTTAAGCCCTGCCTCCATGTGACTGATACTCACATCACATGGCTATCGTTGACACCTAATTAACACTTATTGTTWACAGGGGGTGGAGTGATACTGGCAATAGCGGCGCTGTCCCCCTCCTACAACGCTGCTATTGCCAGTATTACTCCAACCCTGTTAACAATAGGTGTTAATTAGGTGTCAACGATAGCCATGTGATGTATCAGTCACATGGAGGCAGKGCTTAAAAGCCTGAATTTTGCCTGAAACTCTCAGACTGAAGAAGTCTCTTGGAGGAGAGACGAAACGTTTCATTAGAGAAGAACCCGTCCAGAAGACCTACACAGTTTTTTTCTTTTTGATTTTTTACCTGGACTACTGAGATGCATCAGGACGTAGYTGAGCTGCAGCTCGTCACCTGGTGGTGAGCCGCCCCACAAAGACTGAAACCTACCAGGGTTTTTTTTTCTGCTCGAGCTGCGGTCTGATGATTCCTCACGGCCCCCCCCAGCAGCGAACACCACTCAGGTGTTGAAGYATCCTGCCAAAACAGAGGCACGACTGTGAGGAGCTGTTTTTAGTTTCACTGTTCGCACCACCTGATCTTCAGATGTGAGCTGAAATTAAATCTCTGGAAACAAAATGACACAAAGTAACGTTCAGTAATCTGTGTGCCTGAGATAATAAAATAAAAGCAGTAAGTTGAGATCTGTTTYGATGTGAACTTATGCATTTATTTCTGACAGTTAGGAGGAGAACAGATTAATTTATCAGCACTGATTTTGGCTTACAGGAACATTTTGTACATTTTGAAGGTGGAAGTGACTTTTAATTTGGAAATGCCTATAATTATTAAGATAAGCTCATTTCCACCTGGTTCCTGCTGAAACAGGAAGTCCCAGCTGTTTGTCGATGCAGAAACTGCAGGTTTTACTGCTGATTGATAATAAACATGATGTTTCGTCTGTGGGAAAGCAGAATTAAAGGTTTAAAGCTGTTTTACATTCCTCTGGTGATGCCAGGATAAACACAAGCTCCATGAGATAGTAGAAATTGCTGCCTCCTGCTGTTTTTTTTCCATCTGAAGAAAGATGCCAAGAAAAGGGAGTCTTAGATTATACGCTTTAAATGTTGAGCTCAAACTCTACAGCTAAATGCAGGAAGTAGGGCTGGGCGATACGGCTGAAAAATGTACTACGATAGAAAAATGTACCACGATAGAAAAATATACCATGATAGAAGTGTTTTRTATCAGTCAATATYGATTATTATTAGTTTTTGTTTTCCATATTTGAACTAAAGAGCAGGAGAAAAAAAGCTGATGGTGATGTGACTTTTTCTCCTTTATCCACAACTTCCTCTTGAGCTGCTGCACTTGTTTTCTCCGTTCACTCCACGTCATTCTTCTTTTATTCTTAAGCAGCTTTGAGGTGAAACATGAAACTGATGCTGACCGTTCCTCAACAGGTTGTTTCTATCTGACCAAAGAGTGTGTTTGATGCCACCAACCTTGCTTAGCTGGGCTGCAGAAGCTGTTGTTTGTTTTGGGTCTGTAACTTCTGTTCCGTGCTGTAAATTTTGTAAACTTCATACGCGTTGAGGTGGTGACTGAAGTTATTTTATTAACTTAATCCAAGTTGATGCCACATACAGTCACCCTGGTGCTCCACTGTACTCTACTGTACATATGTCTTTATATTTTTATCCTTTATATTTTACATTATGTATTTTTTCTATACTTTATATTTTATACTTATTTGCACCTTTACACCAAAGCAAATTCCTACTCTGTGAATCCTGTTCATTGATAATGTCAATAATAAACTGATTCTGATGAAGCCCGGTTCAACACTAGAATAAATTTGTCCGGCTTGGACAGAGGAGGTGGTGCAGAGTTAACAGCTGCAGGAGCTGTTATTGTGTGTTGTTGTCACAATCTCTGATCCCGCTCTGTCCATAACTTTTATTTCCCTGCGCAAATTTCATAAACTTCCTTAGCTTTCATTATCAACACTCTAACATACACTCACCGGCCACTTTATTAGGTACACCTGTCCAACTGCTCGTTAACACTTAATTTCTAATCAGCCAATCACATGGCGGCAACTCAGTGCATTTAGGCATGTAGACATGGTCAAGACAATCTCCTGCAGTTCAAACCGAGCATCAGTATGGGGAAGAAAGGTGATTTGAGTGCCTTTGAACGTGGCATGGTTGTTGGTGCCAGAAGGGCTGGTCTGAGTATTTCAGAAACTGCTGATCTACTGGGATTTTCACGCACAACCATCTCTAGGGTTTACAGAGAATGGTCCGAAAAAGAAAAAACATCCAGTGAGCGGCAGTCCTGTGGGCGGAAATGCCTTGTTGATGCCAGAGGTCAGAGGAGAATGGGCAGACTGGTTCGAGCTGATAGAAAGGCAACAGTGACTCAAATAACCACCCGTTACAACCGAGGTAGGCAGAAGAGCATCTCTGAACGCACAGTACGTCGAACTTTGAGGCAGATGGGCTTCAGCAGCAGAAGACCACACCAGGTGCCACTCCTTTCAGCTAAGAACAGGAAACTGAGGCTACAATTTGCACAAGCTCATCGAAATTTGACAAGAGAAGATTGGAAAAACGTTGCCTGGTCTGATGAGTCTCGATTTCTGCTGCGACATTCGGATGGTAGGGTCAGAATTTGGCGTCAACAACATGAAAGCATGGATCCATCCTGCCTTGTATCAACRGTTCAGGCTGGTGGTGGTGGTGTCATGGTGTGGGGAATCTTTTCTTGGCACTCTTTGGGCCCTTTGGTACCAATTGAGCATCGTTGCAACGCCACAGCCTACCTGAGTATTGTTGCTGACCATGTCCATCCCTTTATGACCACAAAACCGTTACTAGCATGGTGTACCTAATAAAGTGGCCGGTGAGTGTATTTTCTATTGATATTGATTCATGTGTCTGTTGTGAGATTTATCGTTTTATCGCCCAGCTTTAGCAGGAAGTCAACCTGAAGTTAATAATCCACATTAAAATAAACATTAAGAATTAATTTTTTAAAGGAATGCATATGACCCACCGCCTTTCATGTTAGAGTTTTGGACTAAAATCATCTTTTGTTGAGAATAAGTGAGTTGTAGCTACAATCTAATGAGATAGTGATGGTAATAACTCTGCTACCATGTTATTATTAGTTCTATATCTGTAAAACAGACTGAGTTGTAGCCACCATAGTTTTCTATAATCGTAACCAGAATAATTTGTTGCCACAATGATTRCAAATCAGAAACACAGAAGTGTTCTTTAACATATTTTCAGTTTTCAGGTTTTCAGGTGATTCAAGCAAGAAAAGGTTGGGAAATCTTTTCACATTTTACTTTTGGCTCTAGGCAGAGACAGATAAAGAGCCGTGTGAAAATGACTGCATTTTCTGCTTTTTTAGGAGCAAGTCTGGAGCTTAGATTGAAGCAGACCAAGAATAACTTTGTAAAAAAAAAAGACAAGCTTCTAAAACATGCCCCTGGTTAAATCTATAGGAGGGTTCAGGTTGAGGAGAGAAGACAAAACTCCAACAGACTGTCGTAGCAACAGACCTGTATCTGAAACTTTATCTTGAATAAAACAGTTAGAAAACTTCCTGTTTGTATAAAATATAGAGTCAAAMTCAAAATCTAAAGGCTTAGAAATAAATGTATAAACACTACACAGCTAAAAACTCCATTTCTTTTTGATTTGGAAATATATGGTCCTGCAGTTTTTCCTGTAGGACCAACATTTTCTTTGAACATATGGATGAAAATCCTTCATCGTGACTAATTTAAAAGCCATCAGGTCMTGCCGATCGGGCTTTGAGTGGCAGGTAATGCCTCTGCAGGAAACGTGAACCCTCGCTACAGGAAGAAAACATCTTTCAGGAGAAACTAACACTTCAAATGTCGAGTCTGATGAGATGATGTCAGACTTCCTGACGGAGCGTTGTGTTGTGGAGCGGAGCCTCCATCAGGTCAGGCAGCTGCGCTCAGGCAAACCAACATCTTGGTAAATAGGCCAAAATCTAAGTTTCTACTATAAATAAAAAATAAAAAGCTTATTCCCTGGTTTATGATGCAGCCAGATAACAGCAGTTTTCACACAGTGCAGCTTAAATCTAAAGCTGTTATTTTCAGTGTCAGCGCTCCCTGAAGGGGAGATTATTGTTCCTCACTGCTGCCAAAAGACAAACTACAAACGCAGGGTTCATTTCCAAAAATCTTTTTTTTCTTTTAGCTCATGTCTGTTCATGGGACTCTTTCCTGACCCCACAGTTCATTTAAAAGCACCTCAGTTAAAGTAAAAACTAAAAGTACAGCTGCTGGTCCCTGAGATGTGAGACACGGAGAGGCTGCCCCAGATAACAAGTCGGTCCAAGTCTTCTCTGCTGAACTGCAGGAGTATCAAACAGCAATCAAAACCTCTGACTGGTTTCTGTGCAGGGAGTTACAGCAGGGAGATTCAGGAGGAAATTCAGGCTTTTTTCTGTGTAGCATGAGAACACCAGCACTTTCACGCACCATCATCCCTGACCCGTGTTCCCAACTGTTTGAGCTTCAGACATCAGCTGTGATCCAAACTCAACCTCATCTTCACTCCTCCCTCCTCCTCAGTCTCCTCAAGACACTTCAACAGCTGTAAGAGATGAGTTAAAGCACACCTGCTAACCCACTCATCTAAACTCTTCTCATCGATGCAGGAACATTTCTTCTGCAGCAAACTCCTGCGTGGAGCGTGGACATTTCTTCATCCTGTTCAGTGTGAGGGGCTGGTTTTAACGCTCTCTCCCCTCCTCTGCTTGGCTGCAGGTGAATGCTACCTGATGGAGTGGTCCGACTGGAGCTCGTGCGTCAGCATCTGTGTGAAAGCTGCGGGCGTGGACTTCGGTTCTGTTCAGGTCCGGTCGCGGGCCGTGTTGGCCCAGGAACCTGAGAACCTGCAGCAGTGTCCGGACCAGGCGTGGGAGTCTCAGCCCTGCACCGGTAAGAACCACTCCAGGTTTTTGGGGTTTTGGGCAAAGCCCTGTGACTTGTACAAGAGAATGGAAATCCTCCCAAATGTTTCAAGATGTTTTTGAAGTTTTGAAGGTTTCCGGTTCAAGAAGTCAAAGGGAGCTTAAAGGGATCCCTGATTAGTTGTAACATTAGACTTTATTTGCTAAACATATACTTTAACTGTAAAATAAAGACTGTAAAAATACTGTAGGATGTTTAGATTTGTAAATTTTTAAAAATATATTTTAACATGGACTGAGCCATTTTATTTACACACAAAGCATTCTGGGTAAA